AACCCTCAACCCTACAACCCCAAACCCTCTGGTCATGGTCGCACGACCGTTCGACGGAGCCCCGGGTGAGCGTCTCTACAGAACGGCGAGGGAGGATGATGTAGCTGCCTGAACAACCAGACTAGGGCTTGGGCCTAGGGGTATGTTATGGTATAATTACAGTTACCCTGAGGAAACAATGTCAATAAATCTTCGAGCACTAGATGCAAGCCTCCCGATGTACGGACTGTAATGATGCGGCGACACTTATGACATCTCTACCGTTAAGCACGCAGTAAGGGCGTGCTTGTACAGGCCGTGAGGACCGGCTCCCCCACAACAATCCATTTCAGTTGTGAGCTGCTGAGTTGTGCCCATATTGTGCCGAAGTCCTGGGAAGGACCAATGACTAATGCAAGAAATCTTTGTGGGGGGTTCCCCGTGGCATGACTGCACTCCACTCTTATTCAAGCCAAGCGCGCGATAACTTGGTGCATCCCCGTTCCTAAGCAAGGACACTCGTGCCTGAGTCCTAAACCCGAGATTCCCAACCCCCAACCTTGAATTCCTGAAGCCAGAATCCCAAACCCTCTCAGCCCTGATTCCACCTCTGGGCAGTTCTCTAAATTAGGGTCCCCAGTGTGGCGTCCTTTCTGTACGGCACCCCGTACTATTTGGGCGACCTAAAAGAGGAACCCTAGTTTAGAGAACTACCCCTCTAAGCCCGGATGAGGTCATTCCCAGGGGCGATGATCGTCAGAAAGGGTGCCGTCTCCGCGAAGCGTTTTGAAAGAGGTTCGTCCTCCTTGGATTGGTTTAGGGCTTAGGGTTTAAACCAGGGAAGTTCGGGAAAGGTATGCAGCTTCAGAAAACCAAGATTGACTGGGGCTTGTCCGGTTCAAGGTTTGGGATTTAGGGTTTAGGGTTTTGGGACTTGGGCAAATCGACTTGATGGATAAACCCTAAACCCTAAACTCTAAACTCTAAACCCTAAACTCTAAAACCTAAACCCTAAATGGAGTTTGGAAGGTTTTGATTGGGGGGTTTGAGCCCAGAAGGGCTTTGGTCGTTGAGGCCTTCAAGGACCCCGAGCTTCAGGGCTGTGGATACGGTTGATGATATAAATCCCCCATTACCCATAAAGGCATACGAGCTGCTGGGTTCCTTTAAAGGGTTCCTTTTGAAGGGATCTATAAGGGTTTCTAGAAGGGTAGTATAAGGATTCCAAGTAGTGGTTGATGATATAAATCCTGCATGACCCATAATAACAAACCTACCATAATTTCCATAGTTTAGGGTCCTTAAGGTGATGCAGGCTTTGTATCATCAGCAGTACATCTTCAACCCTCTCATGAAAGGTGAGGCAAGCACACAGCCCCGCATCCTCAACTCTCTTGCATCCTAAACCCTCACCCCCTACCCCCTAAAGGCTCCAAACTTCTGATTCTGAGCTAGCCCTGATCCGCAATCGGAGCCCTACACGCCAAAACCCTAAACCCTAAACCCCGATCCGAAATCGGAGCCAAGCGGCTCTGACGAAGTAGAGCAGCGAGTTCGCTGCCGAGCCAATGACATCCAGAGCCGTGACACCGAAGGAATAGCCCTCAATGGACATACCTAGGACAAGGGTTTAGGGTTCAGGGTTCAGGGTTTAGGGTTTAGGGCTCTTAAGAATGAGAGTTGGGTTTTGGGGTGTTTGATGGTCTATTTTTATAGTAGGGAACCCTAAACACTAAACCTCTAAGAAATGATATAATGGTAACTATAACTATGATGATAACTGCGACTACAATCACCTTGTAGCTATAACTATGGCTACAGCTTTGACTAGCAAGCATTGAGGCCCCTACAGTTGTGGTGTTTCGGTGCCCGGCAACCATCAGAAGGAGCCCTCATCGTCCAAACACACACACTCAACACTGCCCATGTCTCCCAAGTTTAGGGTTTAAGGATAAAGGTTGTTGAGGGATTAGGGAAGAGGATCAGGGATTGGAGCTTAGGGTCTAGGGTTTAGGTCACGCCCCTCAACCTAAAGTGACTGCTCTCCAAGCGGCTAGAGATGAACTCGTAGAACTCCGGGAAGAATCCTTGGCTTCAGGCCCTAAGCCCTAAACCTTAAACCCTAAACCCTAAACCCCAACCCTAAACCCTAAACCCTAAATCCTAAACCCTAAACCCTAAACCCTAAACGCTAACCCGGGTTTAGGATTTGGGGCTTTCGAGGTTTGGGGCCTTTGCGGGCTTACGGGCTTCTGGGCCCTTTTCGGTTCAGGGCTTAGGGCTGCAGCCCTAGACCCTAAACCGAGGCAATCACAGGATTTCAATCGTTGGGGCCTCCACGTTTACGGTTTCGGGGCTGGCAGGCAGGATTTTGGGGAATCACGACTGTTGGGGTTTGGCTTTTGGTGTAAAACAGATCAAGGTCTTTACCGGTTTTGGTTTTTGGGACAACGTAGGGGTCCAAAGAGACTACTAATACCCCGTACTTTGCAGGCCCCTAATATTCGGATCCACACTACAGTCCCTGTCAACAGGAAGGCTTTTAAAACCCAAAACCCTTAAAACCCTAAACCGGCCTTGTTGTCACTGCTTCCCGGGCTGCACGAGACAGGGCAGTCGCGTGATTTTGGGGGTCTGGGTTTAGGGCGTTTTGACGTGTTGAGTTTTAGGAGGTTTAGGGTTAAGTTTAGGACTTAATGTCAACTCTTGATGAATAAACCCCCCGTGATCAAAGGCATCCCGCGCAGGCCTCGGACCTGGCTGAA